ACTATTCCATAACTGGTGGTAAGCAGGAAGATTGAGAGATACATCTGTGTCAGGACACAGACCATTGGCTTTACTGGCCAAAACCATATTGTATTTCAACAGCCTATGTCATTAGTTTGTGTCTCTGATCCTTCCCCAGCCACGATCCAGAGAAAGGGTTTGCAGAGGGGATATGACAAAACCACGAGACCTGCAGTGAGCTGCAGTAGAGTTCTACTTTCTGGACAACTTAGGATATTCGCTATTACATATAACCCCTTTGTAAACCCTAAATATCTGTGTGCACACTTGTAGCAGTTGTACGTATATTTATTTATTTACTTTACTTGTATACCGCAGTTTCTCAGCCTAACAGGCGACTCAACGCGGTTTACAACAAAGGTACAACAGTCAACAATATACAATTTAAAACCATAAAAGCATAATACACAATATTGACACAACAATAACAACCCAATGCATCTCATGACTAAAATCGTGATCCAGTTTCGTCGTCCATATTACCATTCCTGTAATCATCACATTCATTGCACCGATTAACCAAATGCCTGTTCGAACATCCAGGTTTTTAATCTTCTTCGGAACACCATCAGCGAGGGGGCTGATCTTACCTCCATGGGAAGGGCGTTCCATAGCCGAGGGGCCACCACAGAAAAGGCCCTGTCTCTCGTCCCCGCCAGCCGCACCTGTGAAGCAGGCGGGATAGAGAGCAGGGCCTCCCCAGAAGATCTTAGGGTCCTGATGGGCTGATAGGCCGAGATACGTTCGGATAGGTAGGTTGGGCCAGAACCGTTTAGGGCTTTAAAGGCCAACGCCAGCACTTTGAATTGAGCCCGGTAGCAAATCGGCAGCCAGTGGAGCTGGTGCAGCAGAGGAGTTGTATGCTCCCTGCGCTCCACTCCTGTTAGTATCATGGCTGCCGAACGTTGGACTAATTGGAGCTTCCGAGCCGTCTTCAAAGGCAACCCCACGTAGAGAGCGTTGCAGTAGTCTAAACGGGATGTAACCAGAGCGTGGACTACCGTGGCCAAGTCAGACTTCCCAAGGTACGGGCGCAGTTGGCACACGAGTTTTAACTGTGCGAATGCTCCCCTGGTCACCGCCGAAACCTGGGGTTCCAGGCTCAGCGATGAGTCCAGGATCACACCCAAACTGCGAACCTGCGTCTTCAGGGGGAGTGCGACCCCATCCAACACAGGCTGTAACCCTATACCCTGTTCGGCCTTACGACTAACCAGGAGTACCTCTGTCTTGTCTGGATTCAATTTCAATCATCCAGACCGTCACAGTGGCCAAGCACCGGTTCAGGACCTCGACAGCCTCCTTAGTAGCAGGTGGAAAGGAGTGACAGAGTTGGACATCATCCGCGTACAGATGACATCGCACTCCGAAACTCCGGATGATCTCACCCAGCGGCTTCATGTAGATGTTAAACAACATGGGAGACAATATTGAACCCTGAGGAACCCCACAAGACAAAGGTTGTGGGGTTGAACAGGAGTCTCCCAGTAACACCTTCTGAGACCGACCCTCAAGGAATGAGCGGAGCCACTGTAAAACAGTACCTCCAAGACCCATTCCCGCGAGGCGTCCCAGAAGGATACCGTGGTCGACGGTATCGAAGGCCGCTGAGAGGTCCAGCAGCACCAACAGGGACACACTCCCCCTGTCGAGCTCCCAGCGCAGATCATCCACTAAGGCGACCAAGGCTGTCTCGGTACCATGCCCCGGCCTAAAGCCAGACTGTGCCGGATCCAGATAATCCGTGTCTACCAAGAATGCCTGGAGTTGTGAGGCCACCACACATTCCAGGACTTTGCCCAAAAAGGGGAGATTGGAAACAGGCCAATAGTTGACGAATTGAGTGGGGTCCAGTGATGGTTTTTTCAACAGCGGTTTTATTACAGCTTGCTTTAAGCTGGCTGGAATTTTGCCTTCCCGAAGGGAGGCATTAACCACCACCTTCACCCACTCGGCCAATCCCTCTCTGGCCTCCTTCAGAAGCCAGGATGGGCAGGGGTCTAGGATGCATGTGGTAGCTCTCATTCCTCCAAGCACCTTGTCCACATCCTCGGTTGCAACCAATTGAAATGAATCCATCAAAACCGGACAAGCAGATGCTCGTGTTACATCCTCAGAGACTGCCGTTAATATGGTATCCCGACCAGAGCGGATCAAAGCGACTTTGTCTGCAAAGAACTGAGCAAAGGCTTCACAGCGAGCTGCCGAGTCATCAGGGCACCCATCCTGCATGGTGGGTTTTAAAGGCCTCTGACAACTCGGAACAGTTCAGCCGGACGGTTCTTTGCAGACGCAATAGTGGCTGCAAAGAAAGTCTTCTTTGCGGCTTTTATTGCCGCGGCATATGCCCTTAAAAAGGACACAAACCGTGTTCGATTTGGCTCGCTCGGATCCGAACGCCACACGCTCTCTAGTTCCCTCTTCTTTCGCTTCAACGCTGCCAGCTCCTCAGTAAACCAAGGAGCTGGTTTAGCTCGGCTACTTGAGAGGGGACGTTCTGGAGCGATCGTGTCTATTGCCCTAGTCATCTCCCCATTCCAGAGAGCGACCAGGGCATCAACAGGATCACCAACCGAGTGGCGGGAAATTCCCCAAGAGCCGTCAGGAATCCATCCGGATCCATAAGCCTCCTGGGGCGGACCACTTAATGGGTCCTCCACCTCTGCAGAGGTTAGGGGGTGCAGTGAGTCTAAAGCTGACCAGGTGGTGGTTGGTCCATGGCTAATTGGTCCAGAAATGTTTAAATTAAAACAAAACAGCATCATCCTCTCAAAACTCCATATTCATGGTGTTGGAAAGAGCTTTAGAGGGCAGGTAATGTGCACAACAGATTCTGCAATGCAGAATGCAACTCCATTATCATTGAAACACAACTGTCTAGACAGTTCAGTTGCAAACACTTTTCGCAACACTTTAAAGTCTCACAATGCTCTTAGACCTCCCTGTCTCACTTTTTACTATTTTATTCCAGGTGAATAACTGCTTTCAATGTGCCCCACGGCATCTACTGGAATAGCTGTAATACTAAAAGCACACCCTCCCTGACCCCTGGAAAATAGCCATATATCTCTATATGGAATCTAGAAGAATTGTTGCCACTTCACTATGCAAAAGGAAGAGGTAGACTAACAATTTTTAGATATTTAATGTCTGTGAGGACTTATTTAAAATGAAAGCTTGGAGAAACATTTACGGTGGCTAAGATTTGAGCAGAGAAACATGTGAGCCCACCAGTCATTTATACAAAAATATGGGAAGTGTACACAAATTAACAATATAATCTGGGAAGAAATCACGCACATTATCCTGTTAATATGTAAACTCTTCTGGTTAACAGACTTCATTCTCAGAGAACCGAGCTCTACCATGTTCTGACTAGGAGTGCCAGGATTTGATATTGCGCTACCACCCTCTAGTGGTCTACTATTAGAAAAGCATTCCAACGACAGACAATATTACATTTATGACTGTCTTATAGTTCAATGTCTTGGTCAGATTCCTTCTTTTTGTTTTTTTATACAAAAGTTTTAAGAAGAGGTGTTTTTCTTTAATCAATTACTATATTCTGTAAGTTGTCCAAAACGTACACATTTTTATGTCTGGTTCAGATATTACTTCTGAATAGGCAATAGCACATGGCCCCAACATCCATGTATATTCCATCCATCAACTTCATGTATCGAGCATCATACATAAAAAGTAGGTGCTAGAAACAATATCATATGAAAGCTTACTGCCACAACCTGGGGATCACAACCAGATACAGTGAAGACATCTGCCCTTGCACTTTGCTACTCTGCTGCTGAGTACGCATGCCCAGTGTGGAATACATCTCACCACATTAAAACAGTGCATGTGGCTCTTAATGAAACATGCCACATTATCACAGGATATCTATGCCCAACACCGCTGGAGAAATTATACCTTTTAGCTGGTATTGAACTGTCTGACATCCGTCAGGAAGTAGCAGCCAGTAATGAAAGGACTAACTGACATCTCTGACCCATCCTCTATTTGGATATTAGCCAGAAAGGCAACACCTTAAATCAAGAAATAGCTTTCTAAGATCTATAGAGATACTCGCAGGAACACCTCAGCAAGCGAGAGTCCAAAAGTGGAATGCCAAAAGCCGGAACTAGAAACCTCCATCAGTGGCTGATACTGAATGAGAAACTCCCCTCTGGGCACAGAGAAGACTGGGTGACCTGGAAGGCACTGAACAAGTTGTGCTGTGGCACCATGAGAGGCACAGCTAATCTTAAGAAATGGGGCTTCAAAGTGGAGTTCACAGCATGTGAGTGTGGAGAAAAGCAAACCACAGACCACTTAACTACAAGGCAGTCTGAGTTCTGCCACATGTACAATGGAGGACCTTCTCACAGCAAAACCAGTGGCACTCCAAGTGGCCAGCTTCTGGTCAAAGGTCATTTAGTATAATGCCAACTTTTTAACTTTGTTTGTGGGGTGTATTGTTTATTATATCTGTAGTCTCAATTCACTTGACATGATAAATATTATATATGTATCAAGCAAGAAAGTCCAAAGAAAATTCTACATACAGCTGCTTGTTACATATCACTGCAACTGAATTTTTGGCTTGCTTAGATTTCCTAGCCATGCAGAAGTTTGTACATGCCTTCAGCTGGACAGATATAGAGGCCCTCTTCAGGCAAAAAAATTGGGTACCTGATATAGGAAAGTTGGGGTGGAAATAGAAAGATTGTAGGGGCACTGAAGTGTGGTCCACAGTCCCCTTCATGCCGTGCGTAAGGCATAATTTTATGGTTTAAGCAAATCCATAATCCACAATATACAAACTAATTCTGTTTTTGAAAAGAAGGTATAAGCAAAAATGTATTGTGTTAGTTTCTATATTGCAGAGTCTCATTGGTTTTCTTAACATCGTTCTTTTTTTTAAACAAATCTTCTAACTCAATTCAAAAACATTCAAAAGTAGAAAGACACAGAATCTGCAAGCATTTATTTTTTTAAGCAAATATTTTTATTACTGAAACACCCACCCATTATTTGTTTAAATCTGTACATGCATTTCTTCCATTTGGAAGAGGTTTCTAAAAACAGGAAGAAATCCAGAATGGGCTCAGCTTTGCTTCTGTTCTGAGCTGAATCCAAGAGAACAAGAACCATCGCATAAACAGCTTTTCAGTGAAGCAGCTTATCAAATGAAGCACAAGAGGTGAATATAAAACCTAACTTTACAATCAGTTCAAAAAAATAAAACACCAGGCTTGAGGGAGGAAAAATAAAGAGCAAAATTTAAATACTCACTTCCAAGAAAATCCCTTTTTCCAACCTGATTTGCCAGAACCTGAAGGGGAAAGGAAGCTAATGATGGATCAAACATTTTCCATGACTTACCCATTCTTCTGACTTCAATATATTCTAGCATGATAAATTCTTTAAAAAGTGACAATTTCTTCCATTTATTACAACCACTTCGCAACTCAAGAAAGAGTAGCATGAGTACTGTGGATAAACATATATATTGAAAGAGAGAACATTTTCTTCACAGTTATCTCTAGAATTACTACCATAGGACTGTTGAATTCTTCACTCAGGGCAAATTGTCTGATTTTCTTCCATGTTGTACCAGGATTCCAGCTACAGTGCACAGGCTTACCAACCTGCATGCTGGAGGAGGCTTATGAAAGAATATGATCATTTATCCAGATTTAAGGATTTCCATATCTGCTTTCTTAAAGTGGAAGCTCTCCTTACAAGAGTCACTGCTATATGGTCAGTTGCTGATCTAAACGTGATCCCTAATTTCCCATAGGTATTTCTCTCTTCCTAAGGAATTCTGTTTGCAGGACTGTACTGCCCTCTCTGCAATCACTCCACAAAGAGAACTTGCTACAGCTACTAGATTCAAAAGCTTCTCCATTACAGAGAATATCATAGGAGACATATGTCTCTGGATCTGCTGGCAACTGCAGCAATTTCCAAGACAAGGTGCAAAACAACAGGGAAGATTCACTGCTTTTATCAGCAAAGGGAATCTAATGCTCCAGAAGTGCTGCCCACCATCCACAGTACAAGACATCAACTCTAGAGATCCTTTCACCATGACAGAGAATAGAACTACAATAAGAATCATACGGGGACAAAATATATAATCTCAATCACTGCTTCTATAAAAGTTGGCAACCCAAGAACATATACTGGTGAACCTGTGCAGACTCACCCATGCTATACACATGCAGTTTCTAAAGTAGTGGTTCTCTACCTGTGGGTCCTCAGGTGTTTTGGCCTACAGCTCCCAGAAATTCCAGCCCATTCACCAGATGTTAGGATTTTTGGGAATTGAATGCCAAAACATCTGAGGACCCACAGGTTGAGAACCACTGCTCTAAAGTGTATCCAAGAAAAAGAAAGGAGGAAGTATGTGGCAGAGAAGAAAGAAATTCAACATTCCCAATGGGCCACACACCCTTTGACCCTAGGATAGCGGATGTAATCTTAAAGCTTGTGTCTGGATCAATACTTAACCTGACTAATGTCAACCATTGAGCAGTTGGTGACTGAAGATCTTTGCTCTGTGTGTGTGTGATGGGGAAAATATAGCCAACAATGCAAAAGCAATTTCAAGAGACAACTCAATAGATTCAAGGAAGTGACAACAAACCAGGCAGCGAGACATCAGATTAACTAGACTAGTGGTTCTCACCTGTGGGTCCCCAGATATTGTTGGGACTACAATTCCCACTAACCCTAACTATCAGCTGTGGGAGTTGTTATCTAATAACATCTGGGAACACAAGACTGAGAACCAGAGAAAAGATTCTCCTTTCTACCATGTATGTATTCACAAGGAAACCCCAAGCCAACAAAAGTACCCACAGCCCTGGAAAAGAATTAGTTATGTACACATATCAATGGAAGCAAAGAGTTTCAAAACAAGAGGGGAAAAGAAGTATTCTGAGACATCTCACAATGGTCAGAAGTGGATAAAAATAAGAGGCTATCTCTAAGCATAGTGCTGGCAGTACAATTGCAGGGTATCACATGAGTAAAAGAAGATTTAAATGGCCTGCTTCATAGAAGAGTCAAAACTGACAAAGGGACTGGCCCAAGCCCCTGATCCCTTAGAGAATCCGTGTCTGCAGCACAGCCCAAATGATCTGCAGCAATGTTGGGTGTCAAAAGAGGAATGGTGAATGACGAAGACAGTCTGAGTATGAGAAGGAAGGAAATGTTGTGTTTGCTCTAGGGCCACTCGCTAGGCCAACAGTCTCTCAGTACTTGGGCACTTTGGTGTACTCTTCGGTGTGTATGTTCTTGCAGAGGCAGATAGAGAGCACCATACCCAGGAGCTGTGGAAAAAGGAAAAAGGGGAAAAGATTAAGCAAATTATGGACAGAACACAGTCTTATAGTGAGTCCTGGAACTGAATCCCTTAACTCGCACCCATAACCAGGGCCAACCCAAGACATTTCACTGCCTGAAATATTCCAAATACAATGAGAAGGATATATAGATATAGATATATAGTAATTTTTTAAACAAAAATAAAAGAACTTGGAAGATTATTTGAATCTGTGGGGTTGAGGGTTAAATCAGTACAGAAAGAAAAAAAACCCACTCCTTCCTAATATTTGGCAGTCTTTCAGTGAGAAAAAAGTACTGCTTAAGGAAATTACATGATTGACATCATGGTGGCAACATCACTAAAGACAGGATCTTCTGGCTATACAAGTAAGACAAAGACTTCAAAAGAGGTGTGAGAGAAATGATGGCCCTGAGAATATAAGTCTATATATTTTCCCCAGTTCAGGACTCAAGGGAAAAAAACAGACCTAACAAGATAAAGAGGAAACATTCAAAGGAATCCCAGTTACCACTACAGATGGGAAGGCCTGAAAAAAACCCCAGAAAAATGGGAGAAAAAGAGGTTTCTTCTCATTTTTCCAAAGCCACTTTTTCCAGAAAAATTGGAAAAGAAATGTGTAAAAACAAAAAGTATCAGGAATCTTTCGTTAAGGTCTTCATGTTATATATTTTGAATACCATGTCACAGATATTTTATTTATCATTGGAAAGGAATATATTCTATACACTTTTCAATTTTTCCAGAAAAAAACAGCTTTGGGGAAAAAATGGGGGGGGGGGGGGGAACGGACGGACGACTGTTTTTCCCCCTATTTTTCTATTTTGTTTTCCAGGCTTTCTCATCTCAAGTTACCACACAATAGTTGCATGCCCCTGGAGGCAATAGGCAAATGGGGCTATTTATTTATTTACTTCTTACATGAATATGTAAGGAAGAGCATGTCAGCATCACCCCTTCTTTGTGTTTCTATCATTCCCTTCACTTTGGGAAGAAAAGTGGCTACACATGTAGGAGCTTTATGTGATTCAGAATCAGCCCAAGATATTGTATGTAAAACAAAAGGAAAAACAAAGCGTACCTCAATGACAGCAACGCCTGTGCAGACACCAAGAATGATGCCAAGGTTCTCCTGTAACCAGTTCTGCACACCTTTCATACACCCCTGGGAAAAAAAGAAGTATAAAATGATGACTTGGATATGAATCCCCAAATGGGCAAAATGCCTGAGAACTAAAGCCAAAAGTAAAGCTTCTCTTTTGAAGACTGATTGTTTTAGATATGATCCACTGTCTTGTGCCACTAGTTAATCTAGCACAATGTACTCTACTCTGGATGTCTTTGGAATCACACAGACCATTCTTCATGTCTATTTGACAGGTGATACTTCTAAAATGGGAGATGCAAGGTCTACTGAAAGCTAAGGACTTTCTGAAAGCTAAGGAATCGCACTACTACTATGCAATGGAAATCTAAAACCATCTCCCATGTTTCATCTTAAAAACAGACCCCACAACTTTATCACACAGCATCTCCCTGCCCCATATCAACCCGCCTACCACGACAACCTTCAGCTTTGTTTGTATGGCATTCTGATGAAAAGCTCCTTAAAGCCTATTTTGTGCTGAGCCTGGTTAATAAACAATTATCTTAATATAGATTTTGATTTCTTTTTAAGAAGAGCTCTTGATTCTGGGCTGGTTGCTCTGGTAAATTAGGTGCATATAGAAAACAAGATCTAATGACGTGCATGTTCCGCTGTGCTTTTGAGTAGACAATTCCCCAGATAGCTTGGCCCCAACTAGGACCCCAAATTTTGTCCTCGCACTTTACTAGTGTTCTGTACCCAGTTATAATACTCTATCTTATACTGCCCTTTATCTCTACTGCTGCCATATGACCTATGCACTTTATCCATCCATCAGCACTATCCTCACAATTGTTTTTGCACCAGTCCGCCCAGAAACTGATCATTATCACAGAGCTCATTTATTATTGATTTGATGTTTTCCTTTTATATGTTGTTATAATGTTGTTCTTTATATAATTTAATGTGCTATATTTTAACCACGTTGATCAGGCTTGTTCCCATGAGTCCCTTTGGGGAGATGGAGGTGGGGTAAAAAATAAAGTTGTTGTTGTTATTATTCTATCACAGCAGGACAGAAACATGGACAGTCATTTGTTGACATTTTTCAACCCAACTGGAGTTTCCAAAGGGGACTCTACTGAGTTAGGACACACTCACCTGCTTTCTAACTGGCCAGCCCTCAAATGTGGTGGTGTTGGAAGTGTTTTCCAAAGGGCAGAAGCCCACCTCTGAGTCAACTGATTCATTGCTACAAGAGCAAGGGTAGGATGTCTCATTTTTCTCCTGGAGAATTGTATTGTTTTTCCAATTTTCTGGTCCGACCCATCCGCAACAAGATAGCTATATAAAAAAAAATCATAAGAATCAATACATCACAGTATAATTTTGCTTGTATGAGTTGTTCTTGAGTTTGCTATATTTTTCCAATATTCTGTTTAATTTATTGGAGCACTTTTCAAATACACACCTCCTTTAATACAATTCTCAGGGAAGTTTATAATTAAAATGTTAACAGATTAGCTGAAAAGAAGGAAATAAGATACCCAAGAGAAAAGAGGAACAATTAAAAGCAATAACAAGAAAGTGTTATAATGAGGAAGGTTATCCAATTTGGATGGGTTTGGGTTACAAAGCTAATGACCATAGAGGAACAATATCAGCATTCAAACATATGAGCTCCCATCTTCCATCTAAAGTGGTACAGCCCAGACACGGGATGTTGCTCAGGGATGGAAAAAGTATGGACCTTTGGGGGTTAGTGAACTTGAATACTCATCATCCCTCACTATGTTTTTAAGGGCTGATGCAGTTAAATAACATTTGGAGCACCATACTCTCATTATGCCAGCTGGTTGCCTCAGAGAAAAAAAGAAGACAGAAATTTTTATTTAGTTGCTGCCTCAATAATAATAATAATAATAATAATAATAATAATACAATGGTTTTAATTCTTCTCTCCCACCTCAAGACTATTTTGTGTTTCACTTCTACAAGTCATGGTAAAATCCAAGTTGCTCAACACTTTATTGATAAAGCTTCCTCTGTGGAGCTGTAAACAATAATTCTATTTAACATACATTCAATTTATACAGCTTATCTTGCTTGTAGAAAGATTATTTCCTCAAAGATTCAGCAATGTCTATAATATAATATTACTGGCTGCTGAGAAAGACATGAAAAAACAAAACTTCCAAGTCTTTATGCTACACAGCAGCTGAATTCCTCTTAATGTCTGTAACAAATGTTTTACTACAGCACCTATCAAAACTACTGGTTTGCACAGCATAAAAAACCCAGAGTGCTTCTTTTATAGAACCTTGCTACATTTCTTTCTTGCTACAGTTAATTTAGAACTAGGATCTGTCACCTGGGAGTGGGTTGCCTCTGTTCTGGTTAGATCATTTATTTGGTCCTCCAGTTGTTTCAGACTTTAACTCCTAGAATCCCTAGCCAAGATGGTGAATGAACAGGAATTCTGGAAGCTGAAGTTCAAAAAATCTGGAAGATTATTTAGGAAATGTTGCCCTAGAGGTGCTTTGAAGCAAGCTCATCTCACAGCTCTTAACGTCAGCTGTACTGCAATGCTAGGAGAGAGGTTGACTTAATGTCCACCTCCAAGACATCTCCATGTAGGCAAAGTCTATCAAGGATGCTATATACAAAATTGAGCTGTTTCACTTGGAGCAATTATTCATGCATACATTTTACAACCGACACAAAACTCTCCATAGATTATTAGCATGTTGCATATTTGTAAAATGTATATGCTGCCCATCCCTGTAATGATTGTGGTAGTTAACAATAACATTGCTTCTGCTGTTGTTGTTGATGCTCCATGTCTTCACGGTAACTTTGTAGTTATCCTTGCATAGGGTTTTCTTGAAAGGTTTGCTACTGAACCAACATTCAAACCACTGCACCACATTAGATCTTTGAAAGTAATATACAAAGTGAAAAACGTAATAATAAACCTTGCAATTGAAATACAAATAATTAACAACCAAAACCATCACAAAACATATACATCAACTAAATAATAGACAATAAAATATATCAAATAATTGTGCCCTATTAAAAATGTGTGGGGAGGCCTATGAAAATAATAATAGGGCTTTAAACATCATAACCACAACTTTGAATTGCGCTGGAAAACAAACTGACAGCCAGTGAAGCTGCTCTAACATGGGGCTGTGTGCTCCAGTTGTACACTTTCATTTGCAGAAGGAGTTATAAAAGGTTTGAATCGCAACTGACAGAAACATACCATTGGCAAAATTTATTCAGCTAGTTGGTATCCAGCATCAGTCCAATGCTCTGAATTTCCAGAATGGTGGCCATTGTAAACGTTATCAGGGAAATAACAATAGTTGTTCAGTTTAATGCCAAGTCAGACTAGTTTCTTAGCACATGAGTGCAAAGTATCAATAACAGTAAATCTCCAAAAGATGGAGCTCTTGTATTCATCTCCTTTTTCAACAGTTAGCTGAACTGTGGAATAAGCAGAGCTTGGAAAACTTTTAGCCACAACTCTCATTGGCCTTACTGATTGTGGGATTGTGGGAGTTCTATTTCAAAGAGTAACAATCCCAAACTCTGGAAATCAATAACAGGGAGAATACTTTGCATTTGTGGAGAAAGGCAAACTAGCATCCAGATGGGCTGTCATAATTTATACCAATTAACTGGCTGGGTTGCTGTGAGTTTTCCAGGCTCTATGGCCATGTTCCAGAAGAATTCTCTCCTGACGTTTCATCCACATCTATGGCAGGCATCCTCAGAGCTTGTGAGATTTGTTGGAAATTAGTCAAGTGGGATTTCTATATCTGTGGAATGTCCAGGGTGGGAGAAGGAACTCTTGCCTGATGTGAGTGCTGCAACTGATGGCTTGATTAGCATTGAATAGCCTTGCTGCTTCAAGGCTTGGCTGCTTCCTGCCTGGGGTAATCCTTTGTTGGGAAGTGATTACCTGTCCCCGATTGTTCCTTTTCTGGAATTTCCCCGTTTTTGAGTGTTGTTCTTTCTTTACTATCCTGATTTTTGAATTTTTAAATACTGGTAGGCAGATTTTGTTCACTTTCATTAATTGGCTGGTAAATTAATTTGAAGGACTATTATTGGGAAGCAAGTACTAACTACATCAGTAGTTCCCAACCTGTGGTCTGTGGGCCACCAGTGGTCTGCAAGAAAACTAAAATACGGACCACTAGCTGGCCTCGCGAAACCCTCTTATAGTGCTGTATAAATAAATTTTAAATATGGTTTTCTGTGGGCGAGCAGATGGTGACTTCTGGATGGCATATGTTCTGTATCAGAAACTAGAGTGATGTGGTCTATCCAATGCAATTTTCTGAATCAGCACCCCAAACAACCAAACCGAATCTAAAGCTGACCACAAACTAATCTGTAACCTTTTTACTATTAATGCTGGAGAATGGTCCCTGATCAAAGTGGTCCTTGGTCAACAAAAGGTTGGGAATCACTGAACTACACAAATCAACTGCAAAGCCATTGAAGTCTAACAATCAAGCCACAGTTTGGTTGCTATGAATATGCTTCATGTATGGAAGCCTCTTCAACTTCTTTTTTTGCTGGTTTTCATAAACTATAATTTTCATTTCTGGGTTGGAAGCAGCCTATGGCTTTTGCATATTAGGATAAAGATAACTATTCTTTTAAGCTGATTAGCTTCTTTTGTAGCTTTTCTCAAATTGGACCTGCATTTTCCCGATCATTTGTAATTTGAGAATGAGAATCACAAGCACTAACTTTATGACTCTGATTGCAAATGATGAAGGTCTGGTATCAGTGGACAAAAGTTCTAACATACATATGCAATGAAAGCTTGAGAGTTTAGAGGATTTTACTGTGAGCCTGGAGAAGTTCAGATTGTATTGGCAACAAGAGTAGAGAAAGTGAATTTCTGGTGTTTCTGGTGTGACTGGCATGTAACCTGAACCAGGACAATGGTTTGGTGACTACTCTCAGTACCAAGACCTAATCTACATAGTTTAAATGGAACTTACTTGGAGAGACTTAGTTACAGAGATTATTTTAGTCACAAGAATAAAAAAAAACCCTGTATAAACAGTATGAAAAAGTATTCAGACCAGTCAAAATAACTACATATTCAAGTATAGCTATTTCATGCTATTTTAATTGTTGTGATACCGTTTTATGAAATCCTGGGATTTGCCATTTTCTGAGGTACTTAGCACCCTCTGCTGCTTTGGCTCAGGGAAATACTGGGAGTCTCTATTAGAGAGCACCAAGTATTTCACTAAACTACACATCCCAGGATTCTGTGGAATTGGGATTTGGTAATTAAAGTGGTATCAAAATATAGTTTGTAGTGCAATTAACACTGTGTGTCTGTCAACAACCAAAGAAAAAATAGATATACACCCACACAACCTAATCTCAAATGGTACTGCCAAAATGGGCTGAAAAGTACCAAAAAAGGCAATGAGTTAGAAGAGGTTATTTTGCAGATATTCATCAGGATGACTGTATGCTGCCTTAGAACTAGATGTTTTCTGGGAACTGAGTGGGTATCAGAGTAGATAAAGAACTGAGATCTGACTTCAGAAAGAATCACTTCAGCATCTTCTCTATCAAGCACACTTTCTGAGATAGGAAGTGAATAAGTTCAGGCTTGATTTCCTCTTCGGCATAATATTTGATCATTTTGGAAATTCATGGTATTCATAACTTTTCTCCAGCACGTTTCAAATGCATTGATCGTCTTCTGGTCAGCTTTCTTCACTGTCCAGGCCTGAAGGATACCAAATAATGGCAGAAGAACAAACTATCCTCATCCAAACATCAACTTCGAGATTATTTCTTTATTTATTTCCTATATTTCTATCCCGCCCTTTTCACCCCCGAGGGGGGACTCAGGGCGGCCTCGCGAAAGCATCATAGGATGCTGAACATCATAAAAACAATCAACAATCAGCAATGCATAAAAATATTAAAAAACAGTAATTAAACAATAGATTAAAAGCACGCCTGTTAAAACCAGAATCCAAAATCCAATCCAAGGTCTAGTCCGGATCAATTCATTATCCCAAAAGCAATACCTTAGGATTAATATGAAAAGTACAAAGACATATGTTTTCAGCAGCAGAGCTAGATGTAACAAAAAAGGATCAATATATCCAGGTAAGATTTCCAGAGCTTTCCTCATATTAATATTCTGTCCTTAGTTATTCAAAAGCCCCATTCATAAGGGCTGGCACCTCCATATAGGAGCTGTCCTTAAACTGACAAGAGACTGAGCAAGAGAAGGTGTGGAAATACATTGACTTAGACTTACAAACCGGAAACCTAGTTTTCATAGTGCAGGCCGAAAGCAGCAGGATTAAAGAAGCTAACCCCCAAATGAACTCAGCTCTTAATTCCAATTCACAGGTTACATAAACCATTGAGAACTTTAGCCTACTGACCTGTCTTGCACAAAGATCTAAGCCAGGCCGACACAGCTTGTGACCTACCAGGCCTGCTTATGGAGATCACAAATCATGGATGTCAACCCAAATGCCCTCTTTCTGCAAGTTTCCTGCCAGCCAAATCCCATGATCCATAAGAAACTTCAAACACACAGAGGGGATACACCAAACATCTGACAAATCAGATGGCGAGGCATGTTCAGCTTGGTGAGTCCCAAGTTCTGCAGAAAACTTTTGCCACGGAACCAGGTGGCAGTCGATACTTTCTGCCTTCTGAAATTAACTCTCCAGTTGCAGAATATTTAAATAAATGAGTTCCAATATACCCAGAAGTGAAAAAGTAGGCCTGTTAACCCTCAAAATCAATATCTACATTTAAGCACCTTACTCTAAAAGAGTAAACATCTTCCAGCATAACAAATAACATATTCAAAAGATGAGTTAGAATCACAGAACATGAAAATTCAGTCTTCAGCAGCAGAAAAGAAACAAAGGACTGCTTCACATACATTTTGCTGGATTTATAACTGCTTCATGATCTGGGGGCAATCCATGCTACTCTTCAACCCCACACATTTCTTATGCAGAAGTCTCCTTCATTAGAACTGGCACCTCTTCATCAGGGCTGCTTGCTGTCATTTGCAAAACCATGGTGCTCAATACAGGCATTCATGTTCATGCAAATTGTGGTGGCCATATGTACAATCTCTATCCCCATCAGTTCATAAATCTGGTGCCTTCTAGCTTTAAGCTCAGTGGTAGATTTGTGGTCCCAAATAGAAACCACTGGCTTATGTACCAACCTACATTAAAAATACGACATAGGTTGCTCCTGAAGTATTGTAAAAGATCTATCTGCCTGTGGGGCTAAACCAATGATGGGAAATAATGCATGGGAGTCATAATTAGAGAGCTGGTATACAATCAATAAATATATACAAGTGGAACACATATATACAAATATGCTTTCTTAAAAGTGTTACTATGCAGACATATGATGGCTTTCATTTTGCAGCTCTCAGAATAGTTTTCTTGTGTAGGTTGTGCACATGCTAGTGTCCTTTCATAATTGTCCTCGCATAACAGAAAACACATATGCCATCTCTAGAGCCAAGGTAATCACAACTGCCAACAGGTGAAAAGAAGAGATGCAAGTAAACAATAAATTAGGTGAAATGGATCTAGTTCAGCATTTGCAAAGTTCACAGCGCTACATAGGGGAAGCAAAAGATAGTCTTATCACAGCATGTCAATTCATTACTAAGACCCCACTTTAAACTGCAAAATGTTATGTTTTGTTTCAAGTATAATTGGAAAGTGGTGTGTAACGATCATGTGAGGACACTACTTTACAATTCACTTCCACCAAAACATACCCCTTGTAGTAAATTAATACTATTATTCAAATGGCAGTATTAATTGATAAATTTATGTTAGCTGACATAACAACAATGCTTTCTGAGCAAGTACTAATATTACACCCTTTATCGCCAACATTTGCATGGCAACTTACCTGTGTCTGGACATAATCCCATGCGGTCTCAAGGTTCCTATTGCTTTCATCATAAGGGTTGTAATTCTGGATGAGGTTACCAACAATCTCTGACATTTCTGTTTTGAGCTGATGAAGAAGACACAAACAAGCTTAAGTACTGATTTTTCAACATTTATAAAAAAAACCTACTCACTGCTGAACACTACAAAGAGAAGCATATACTATGTAAGAACTTCAAAAGAGGCAGATGTCTATGGTTTTTGTTTCACCATGATAATCAAGACATATTATGGTTGCCAGTCCCTCTCCAAGCACATTCTACTTCACTTTCCATGTCCTTTTCCCAAGGAAGGACCAATGGACAATGTAGTTGGGGGGGGGGGTCACCTATTTTGCCGATGTTCAAGGCACCAGAATCCTCACATCCTACAGCTTTTCCCAAGTGAAAGACAAATGGAGATTCATTTGAAGGTATTTTGAACACTCTCGGGCAATGGCATCCAACCCTCACCATCCCCTTAGCTCTGCATGACCAAGTCTCTCCAAGCACTATGGTCACACCGCTGCCAACAAAACCCCAGAGTTCCTCCAAATGTGGACAGTCGTACAGATTAAAAAAAGATTCTCCAGCTTTGTGGATTCAAATTTTGGACAAATACTAGCTAACTGTCATATTCAATCTTCTGGTGGCACCTCTCTGACTATGGTGAGTATAACTATTGGATTTTATTTAAAATAAATTATTAAGATTCATATTAATCCAAAGAACAAACCTAGCTTACATTTTAGCCAGCACAAAACATGGGTTCTTGTCTTTTGTGTTCTCATCAATATGTGTGAGCTTGGGTTCTACCTTTGTTTCACAGGGAATTTTTAAAGGAAATTTCAACCTATAGTAGTCTAAATTTAACTTGCTCCATCATAAAATCAACCCAATGCACAATGGGCCTTGTCCGTTGCGGTAAACAAGTTCACTGCTTCCATAGAAGGAAAAACCTATTGTTTGACAACAGCATTCCTCTATGCCAAGGGAGTCATAAGATACTGTGTACAGTTCTGATTGCTGCAGAGCTGCAAATGTGCAGAAAAGGGTCTGCCAAAATGACAAACGGTTATAGAAACTTTCACACACAAAAAAGGTACAATTGTTAGGACTGCTGCTTAGCTTTGAAAAAACAGCAAGCAAGGAGAGCAAGGATGGTGCACAGTGTGAATATTTTATTTGGGGTTGTGAAAGTTTTCTCCCTGTTTCATAATATTAGACTCCAGTGTCACTTGCTGAAACCAAATGGCACTGAAAAAGCACTCAATCTCACAGCACACAGTTGAACTATGGAATTTGCTCCCACAAAATGCAATGATGGCCATCAACTTGGGTTGTGGTGGCTATATTTTGCTTCCAGTATCGGAGGCTGTATGCTTCCATAGGCCAGTTTCTGGGGAATATGTGTTTGTGTTCATGTCCTGCTGTGAGTTTCCCATTTCCATCTGGTTGACTACTGTGAAAATAGAATGCTAGACTAGGTATGTTTGTGGTCTGATGAAGCATTGCTCCTCTTATGTTTGTGCACAAAGAGGCTGCCCTTTGTTAGCAATGCACTTGGTTCACAGGTTTCTTCAACCCTTTGCGTCCCAGTCTCACACTGCCATTTATTCCAGTAAACAGATTTCTCTACCCCTGAGCTCATTAAGTCAGATGACTAATTGCTCTTAACTATCGAGCCAGCATGTTCCTATTTAAGGAAAGCTCTTCTTCCAATTCTTCAAAACTAACTGAACAAATCAACAGTCCAATGCAAAGAGAGAACCAGGTAGTGGTGAAAGAGTTGCTACCCTCAGCGACTTTTCACAATTAGACAAAATTTCCAAATGCAATCTTTAGCATTTGGGGATTTGCTCACAGCCTTGATAAACCTTCCACTTTGCCTAGGCAGACAACTGAGCAATATGAATTTACCGTGCAGACTGTTTCACAGTAAAGCTGCTCTGAAGGAAGCTACAACATCTGCTCATGAATTCCTACTGGCAAAGCAATTGGATGGAAGGAAATTATACAGTAGCTCCCACCCCCCACCTTCTTATCATCACAGCTGACATCTAGCCCTCTTGGCACTCCATTTGTGTAGCTAACCCCCCCCCCCCCCAATGAGGGTGAAAGGGATGAGAAGCGAAGCAACTTGACCTGGTTCCTGCTGCTAACGTGATTGGTCTTGGCTGCCTTTGTCACAAGTCATAGAAGGCAGTAAGCCAAGGGGCTTTTGTTCTCCTTCGCTATGTGGTGGGAAGAGAAGAGTGGTTTCTTTTGCAGGCAAATCTAAAAATGCTGTTTTCAAAAATGTCAGTGGGAAATGGTGTTCCCCACCCAGTTTAAAGTATAATGCTCAGTATGCTTGTTTAAGCATGGCTGACCATGGATTACTTTGTGGTTGGGTTCACCAGAGTTTAGTCCCTCAAATCTATTTTTCAACTGTTATCGTCGAATCGTGTGAATTAGAATAGGGTATTGAACTACAAAGGAGTGCCATTTCCACATAACTCGAGCCAGTTTCCACTCTCTTACACACAGATGCTCCTCATGCTTGGACAGGTGACATGCTTTCCACATGGATGAAGTCCTGTCTCTTCTAATTAAGTACTGTCATAGATGGGACTTGCTTCCTTTAACAAGTATAAATATTCCATCAACCACATCCCTTATGTACTAGCTCAGAGCTTTCCAAACTCTGTGTTACAACATGTTAGTGTGTTAGCTGAAGCATGTAGGTATATTACACAAATGCAATAAGAAATGACAAAAATCTTGGAAACGTATATTTCCTTATAAATCTTAAAAATATAAATTAAAGGTTTTCATGAAATATGTTGTGTTCTCATGCATTTTGTCATTACAATTTATATAAGTTCCATATTTCTAATAAGGGGTTGGTTCAACCTCCTGTTTGCTAGTAAAACTGAATTACTATGTCACAAAATGATACATGTCTAAAAAGTGTACCAGCAACATTAAGTGTTTGGAAAACTCAACACTAGCTACCATGGTGAATTTCTAAAAGTGTATCTCTTTGACACACACACACACACACACATCTCTAGTGCAAAGTCTCTTTAAGTAATTTGGCTTATAGTTCTCTTAAAAAAACTTTTTAAAAACCCCTTCCGTTAAACAAAGAACATACATTGTGTTATGCGTATGAACTTTGTACCTGCACATTTCCTCTCCCACCCAACTTCATGGGCTCATATTTTCCTGGCTTCCTATATTTATTTTCATTTATTTGCCATATTTATACCCCACCCTTCTCAACCCTGAAAGAGACTCAAGGCAGCTTTACACATAGGCAACTATTTGATGCCTTAAAACAGCATACAATTAAAATAAACATTTTAAGATAGAATTTAAAACACATTAAAACATATAAATCATTACGTTCACTCTTAACCATGCTATAACTTCCTATAGGTTTAGAACCACATTGTTGTGTTGCTTCAGTAGAAATGGAACAAGAAATCACAGCAATAGATATACATGGAACTTCAGGTTTTTACAATTTTATCATCCAGATAATGTGGAGTTCTGAAAAAAAGGAAGTGCTCCTA